GTAGAAGTAAATCCCAGTTTGTGTACACGATAACTGATTTTTCTTTTTACCGGTTGTTTAATGGTTAATTGTACATTATGTAATAAGTTCCCAGTTATCTGTTGCAATATTTTGATTATTCAACACGGAATTTTAATTGACTGTAACGATGACCGAGAAGTTCTCGAGAGAGTGGTTGCAGAAGGGTTTTATTGGAAATCGAACTTAGAAATTATTATGTATATGTATGTATGATGTCTACTGAGATTGTGACATTGACATGATCACCAGAATATGAAGCATACTTTCCCGTAGTTTTCTATGATCACCAGAATATGAAGCATACTTTCCCGTAGTTTTATATGATCACCAGAATATGAAGCATACTTTTCCGTAGTTTTCTATGATCACCAGAATATGAAGCATACTTTCCCATAGTTTTATATGATCACCAGAATATGAAGCATACTTTCCCATAGTTTTATATGATCACCAGAATATGAAGCATACTTTCCCGTAGTTTTATATGATCACCAGAATATGAAGCATACTTTCCCGTAGTTTTCTATGATCACCAGAAAATGAAGCATACTTTCCGGTAGTTTTATATAATCACCAGAATATGAAGCATACTTTCCGGTAGTTTTCTATGATCACCAGAATATGAAGCATACTTTCCGGTAGTTTTATATAATCACCAGAAAATGAAGCATACTTTCCGGTAGTTTTATATAATCACCAGAATATGTTTTCTATGATCACCAGAATATGAAGCATACTTTCCGGTAGTTTTATATAATCACCAGAAAATGAAGCATACTTTCCGGTAGTTTTATATAATCACCAGAATATGAAGCATACTTTCCGGTAGTTTTCTATGATCACCAGAATATGAAGCATACTTTCCCGTAGTTTTATATGATCACCAGAATATGAAGCATACTTTCCCGTAGTTTTATATGATCACCAGAATATGAAGCATACTTTTTTTCGTAGTTTTATATAATCACCAGAATATGAAGCATACTTTTTTTCGTAGTTTTATATAATCACCAGAATATGAAGCATACTTTTTTTCCACCAGAATAGTTTTATATATAATCACCAGAATCACTTTTTTTCAGAATATAATCACCAGAATATGCATACTTTCCACCAGAATAGTTTTATATGATCACCAGAAAATGAAGCATACTTTCCCGTAGTTTTATATGATCACCAGAATATGAAGCATACTTTCCCGTAGTTTTCGATGATCACCAGAATATGAAGCATACTTTCCCGTAGTTTTATATAATCACCAGAATATGAAGCATACTTTTTTTCGTAGTTTTATATAATCACCAGAATATGAAGCATACTTTCCGGTAGTTTTCTATGATCACCAGAATATGAAGCATACTTTTTTTCGTAGTTTTATATGATCACCAGAATATGAAGCATACTTTTCCGTAGTTTTATTTTCATTGCTGAGTGAATTATAAAGTAGAAATGGTATAGCTCCAACTTGGACACAAAATATAGTATCATTTGTTTTTTTATGCGGCGAACACTTTCAAAACTAATCTGCTCTACTCGACATAATGTCTTCTTTGCGGCATGTTGCACCCTATCCTCCTCTCTCACCCACGTCACTCCTCTTTTCTCACATATGCACTAATTTCCCGTCGTTCCTGATCCACAATAAACGAATAAGAAAGTATATGTGAGTGATCGTATATTTATCATTACATCTGTAGTAATGTATAATTTGTAGTTCGTTTGATGGTAATGTGGCCCCCGGTCTTGAACTGTTACTTCCTTGTACTACTCCACTCGCATTCATCCGGTATTAATATCAGTAATATACATGTTATCAAATAAAAACAGGTTAGTCACATGGTTCGGCATTACAACAGACTAAGACGTGAAATATAACATATGAACCAGTACTTTTGTTATGATTAAAAATGACGCATGCTTTGCAAACCTGCTGGCAAAACCCGGAAGCTAAGATTGCGTGTTCCTGAATTTAGAAATTTTTCACTCCGGGAAGGATCATGAAAGAAATGCTTTTAATACAAGGGTTATTCATTGTCTAATCATGTGCTTCCTTATATCGAATACTTTTGCAGTCAAAGTCTGCCAAAAGTCAAATACGTCATCTGGGAAACATCAATGTTACAATCACAGGCTGTACAATCTACAAATATTTAATTACGGTTGTCTCCCCTTAGTTGTTTGGCGCCATAGCCTGTGTTACCGATTCTTGCCTCACTGTGCTTTACTCATCAATTGACCCACAGCCATCTAAAGCGAAATTGAAACTTAGAGTTAAATGATTCACATCTGCTACATATAACGTTACCTTGAAGAATTTTATAACGATTTCTATCACGGTTCTGGTTCGTGTTTTTACCTGACATGTCTGCGGGTTGAGTAAAACTAGAAGAATTGATTAATTATATGATAGTTAGTGATATCAAAACTTTTATTGAGACACCGAGTTATTGATGATAGACTTAGCAAAGTCGACATCAATTCAAGAAACAAAGACAAGTCTTATCATAATACTAAAGCAAACTACATGTCGAAGACACGTCTTAAATGGTCTCTCCAAGATATGTCTTATCTTTTTATGAGCGAAAAAATAATAGGCTATATGTAATTCAATCAGACATTTTACCTTCCTATTCTTATAAATTACCGAGTTTTCAAACGCATTATTCAATTATAGAAGCAATTCTCATACACTACAAGCGTTTCGTTGACAATTTTCAAAAGCTTGAGTCTTAACTTCCTATAAAGTTGATCTATCTCCGCAAGTACTCGTATCCTTGTGGAGCTATTAATAGATAAAGAGATGAGAGAGCTAAATTTATGACGTGTTTCGTTTGGAAATGAAGTTGTAATCGTGAATTAGCACCCGCTTAAGTTTTTTATTTAAAACATACGGTTTTCTCGTTTAATGGTCTGTTGAGACCAAACGCCTATACCATGAATCCCTGATATATTTGACAATATGCCACGATGACAGTTACCAAACAAGTTACACCAAAGTGTGTCAACATTTGTCAAATAAAGAATCCATCTCCCTCGTAGAATGTAATGCTTTAAATGGAGTTTATGATAGAAACATGTGTCTCGCATCAGTTGTACTTAAAGGGTGATGGTACCAGAATCGCTGTCATGATCTCGGATACAAAATCAGGTATGACGTTTATATATGCCTGTTTGACCTAAATGTGTCCAACAAAGATATCGGGAAAAATACATTTCTCGTTTCGGCGAATTGGTAATTTGATAGATTTATCGAAACGCTCATGATCAGAGAAAATATAATGTCTCGTGTACGACTGTTTACAGGACATCAAAGCAGCCTCAACACGGTGGTGGCTTACTTCAAATACTATTTTTACACACGTTGCACAAATTGGATTGATCAAGTTGCCCTGATAAGCACCATGCCTCTGATTTGTAAATCATATTCATAAACATTGTCTACGTACATTTAATATAATCATTCGGCAACATTTTTTCAGTGAGAAAATTAAGCTTTTTTGTGGCCTTTTTTTGTAATTTTTTCGGTGGGGGAAGGAAGGGGATAATTACAATTAGACTAGATTGTCATTATACGCTACTTTTAATGTATCAATAACAAAACAAATAGAATTATAGAATTATATGTTTCAGTAATTATTTCATGATTGTTTTACGATCACCAACGTGCTCATGTTCCGTTTTCTAAATCTTTTGTGGTCTTATTATTCTGTTCAAAATTTGTAAAAACAGCAAACCGTAATTTCGTATTCAAGAAATGTATTGATACATAAACTTGTAAGTGTTAGCTATCTAACTAACACAATGCAAAAGTCAATTTTCATTTTTATGCCGAGTTTGTCAGGAGTTCAGCCGTATTTTAACACGTAACAGGAGTTATCTCCCTTTATTAAGATTATAGTACAACTTAATGTCGGATAAGGAAAATAACAACAAAAGTAATCAAATACTACGAATTAATATTTAATACCTTATAAAACAGACTAGATTGTAAATAACATTGTATATATTATAATGTATAAACATTAACAAAATGAAATTGATCACGTTGTACTATACACTTGATGTGAAGTATTTTGGCAGGGTTCCTTCCTTAATAAGGATTATCACGCTAACGGTCATGATTTCAGATTAAATAAATGGTTAAAGTCACATTTGCAGTTTTTCCAACTATTGTCAATAAAGTCGATTTACATTATGTACCATACACATTCGATTGAATTCCAAACACAGTTATATTCCTGTGGCAAAAGTTTATTTAGCCAATCAGAGCACGGCTGTCAGTGTTGTACCGTATCTCGATCATCTGGTCTCCGTTCTGCTCTGAATCCACCACGTGTATCTTTCAATTTGGACTAATTTTGGTTTCATGTCTAAATTTCCTGCAAAATATGAAAGGATGTCTAATGAGTCACATGCTCAGTATACATGTTTAAACTATCACAAACTTGAGAATTGCCCGTTAATCATCATAAACTGTATATCACTAATGACATGTCGGCATGATGTTGTTCTAACTATCAAGCAAAGGCTAGTTAACACCTATAAATCCGTTTATCAGACTTTGTCACACATTGTAACATACTTAACGTTTTAATACTAAGATAACCCTAACATTGAAATCGTTAACTTACCGTTCAATGTAGGCATAATTCGCTCAGTGGCGTCGACGTTGTCAGGATTTGGTCAATGTCATCGCCCACGCCATCGGCCAATAATTGCCGAATCCATCGTGGTTTGTCCGGGGACTCAGGAATGGTACTGAATCATCTCTATGGGGCTGTCCTCATTTGAATCTCGCATTTGGTTTTGGCAGTCCTTGGATAGCTGACGACAATAGGTATTTGTAATACCTTCCCTTGCATAGCACTATTGCGGGGGTGATTTTGGTTTTCAGAAATATCCACTGTTAGAAGCAGATATAATATGAGATATCGTTTTCAATATGACATGAAATGATAAGATGTACTCTGCTAACACCCTCATACTGTAGTTTCACCATCTGAACCAGATTCTTCTGTAGAATAAATTTCTTCATATCCAGAATCACTGGCGAAAACCTGTCCATATTGGGAAGTCAAGTCACATGATTTCCAGTTGGCATGTAAAAGACTAGAGTTCACTGGGTGCTGTGACTGGGGCGCGGAAAAGTCTGTGGTGGTGTTCGAATCACATTTGGAGATGACTATGCCCGGTAATGACATAGAAGAAGATAAGTTTGCTGTAGAGACATCACTGATTTCACATGAGCTGGCACCTAAATCCTTGGCACCTCCGTGACGTCGTTTGAATTTTATTTCCTCTATTGTCTCATTAAGAGTCAACAACTGTTTCATTAGAGATAGGTCCTGGTCCATAAGTCCAGCCTGGAATTAATATGTAAAATTTCTATCAACATCAAAATTAGGAAAAGCTGTAAGATTACTTAAGTATTCTGAATGATAAGATTTTAAGAGTGACATTACATTTCTATTGTACTTCATCAGTACTAATTTAAATAAGATTTTTAAAAATAAAATTTCAAGTGTTATTATGTAGAGACATTTCGTTAAACATGAACAAACGATGACTCATGGAAAATGATTTCTTTGGTGAATTTAAAAACTTACCATTTCTCGTCTTAATTTATCCATGGCGGAATCCATAAAACATTTTGGTTTGTCACTTTTCTCCTCTGTCTTTTTAATCTCTTGTTTTCCCATTTCCTCTTTGAAATTTTCTGTCACTCGTTGTCTGTCCATGTAAAATTCACGGCAGGCGTTTGAAAAATCGATGGAAGCGTAATAATGGTCTTGTTCCTCCATAGCTTGTCCAGACGTCTTGACCATTGTCATAAATGACTACTTGACCAAGACTAGTTATAAGTGGTGGATATCCTCTGATATTAGACTATACCCGTTTATAAACCTCCGAGGTTTTCACAGTCAACCTTAATCCAACCGCTCTATTGCATTTACAGGTGTAATTCTAAATCATTCCTACAACCCACCTGTCTTATATACTACACCTGGATAAAGCTTACCTGTACAAGCTACCAGACGTTCTTGTTCGTAATTGGTCGTTATTATTACGGGGTAAGCTCGACGTTCCAGGTAAATATACATAAAGGTACACAGAATGATTGACACCCTAAATAATCTCTCTAAATTTGCTCACGCTCCGCCCCCTAACCTGATTCAGTAAAGCATAAAATCTATATGATCATGTTTACAAGTTAAGTCCCTATCTGATAAATCGTCTACTTTTCGATCAGAGTAGTACATAAAAAATCTACCAGAGTCTCTATTACATCCCTATACAATTCAGGGGTGTTCAGAATCAGTCATGTCAAGAATTGACATTCAAGCACACAATTCCGTTCCACAAAGCTTCCTTAACGCCTATGACACAAATAAAAATTTAAATCCATTTTCTTTCAAAATTAATTTTTTCAGTGATATTTAATTCCCTTTTTCCTCAATTTTGTTTTTAAAAGGGGATTTTCTCCATGAAAATACAACTGATTGAAATGCACACTGATTATACAAGTAAGCTTGCGATGCTTGGAGGGACTTGGTCCTACAAAACGTGATATTTATTAAATGCATCCAACATATATCTATGTCACTTTAAGTGTAAAACATACTGGTATATTCGTGCTGCACATTGTTACTAGACAATACTTGTACCATGTTCCCAGGTGTTTGATTAATTCAGACTTATGTAGACAGATACCCAATACTACACAGCAAAACGACTCAGTCGTATCGACATATCAGAAAGAAGTTGAAATGTACCTTACGCTATACCAAAAATACCATTATACCGTTATCACCGTTATACCAAGACAGCAAGTATATCTATACGTGGACAGGATAATCAGGAAAACAAGGCGATGTCGCAATAATATAATGTAACAAAGCATTGTCCAGAAGTAAATAGTGCCTTCAAATACAAAAAAAATAATAATAATTCATCAGTTGAAATCATAAGAAAGGAAATTAGATGTATGACACCATAGGTAGGAGGTAGGTAGATAGGTTGGTATGCGGTAGGTAGGGAGGAGGTAGGAGGTAGGGGGAGGTAGGTAGGTAGGTAGAGAGGAGGTAGAAAGGTAGGTAGGTAGGTAGGAGGTAGGTAGGTAGCGAGGAGGTATTAAGGTAGAAGGTAGATAGGAGGTAGGTAGGAAGGAGGTAGGTAGGTATGTGGGTAGGGAGAAGGTAGGTAGGAGGTAGAAAGGTAGGTAGGAGATAGGTAGGTTGGTAGGAGGCAGGTAGGTAGGAAGTAAGTAGGTAGGAGGTAGGAGGAAGGTTGTTATGAGGTAGGTAGGTAGGTAGGTAGGTAGGTAGGAGGTAGGTAGGTAGGTAGGTTGGTAGGAGGTAGGTAGGTAGGTAGGAAGTAAGTAGGTAGGAGGTAGGAGGAAGGTTGTTATGAGGTAGGTAGGTAGGTAGGTAGGTAGGTAGGTAGGAGGTAGGTAGGTAGGTTGGTAGGAGGTAGGTAGGAAGTAAGTAGGTAGGTAGGTAGGTAGGAAGTAAGTAGGTAGGAGGTAGGAGGAAGGTTGTTATGAGGTAGGTAGGTAGGTAGGTAGGTAGGAGGTAGGTAGGTAGGTTGGTAGGAGGTAGGTAGGTAGGAAGCAAGTAGGTAGGTAGGTAGGAAGTAAGTATGTAGGTAGGTAGGAAGTAAGTATGTAGGTAGGTAGGAAGTAAGTATGTAGGTAGGTAGGAAGTAAGTATGTAGGAGATTGCTAAGTAGGTAGATTGGTTGGATTCTTCTTTCCATCACCTCGACCACGTTAGTGACATTCTACCTTAGTAGGTTGTCTCACATACAAACAGTTGTTCTGGAAATGTTTCAAACGCATACACCCGTTTCCCAATGGCATTGTTTAAAGTAGTAAGAAGAAATAGTGTCCTGATTAATAAGGGATACCGTTTTTACTCGGGATCAAATCCGTCTTTGGTCAGAAACCATATTCTCTTAAGTAAAAAACAATTCTGTCTTATGTCATGTCGGGAGCAATTATCAGGTATACACAGAAGTGAATGATATTTCTAATCAGTCAAACTTCTAAATCCAGCAATCAAGACTGACATTTTTAAAATGTCTTTTGTCAACCTTAATCGTAGTTTATCGATATAAAGAACTTTTGTAAAAACATACTTATTCTATTTAGTCATTAGTAATGATGCGATTCGTCAAGCGCAATAGTGAATTTAGTTGCCAGAAATTTGATTCTTTACTCACAGGAAGTTTCATCTCTGAGGCGCCATACTTACCACCTTTATGTCTTGGTCAAGGTTGTATCTAATGAGGACCAACCTTGTCCTTTATACGGAGAATTGGTCTCCATAGTCAAGGTCCAAAGTCAGTTCATTTTACCAGGGTAAAATATATAAGAAATTATAGTTAGTATATTTTACAATAAACAGCACTGTTCATTCTCAGAAGTTAAAATATTAAACAATTTGGTTTCATCATATACCTCAAAGATTTCAATATACGTAATAAGGGCATTTATAGCTATACTTTAGCTACTCGGGGTATTATATATCTAAAATAAGTTTTCTCTTTGAAATAACCTGTTGTGTTTGCGTGTTTGTCGGCATAATAGTATTTCAATTTCAACTTGCTTTTGAATTAATCTTGATAAAAATACGAGAACAATTCTTTATACGCCTATCAAAGAACATTTAGAGTACAAAGTTGACCAACGTGACGGATTAAAGTGTATGTGACTTTCCACTATACAGCTGGTATATATTTTTAGACTTCTAACGTTCTTTAACATGTACTTTGAACTTTCAGATGATAAGTCTTATATATATATATATGCATTCCTGACTGAAGGCTATATAAGTCTCTTTCTGCTGCAGGTGAAGGCTGAAGTTAAATACGTGTACTTTACATTATTGAATTGTTTAACAATGAAACAGTGCTTGCGTCCTAATTGCGACAGCACCTCTAACAAACCAAATGAAATACATTACACGCGTCGGTGTTTCTCTACTGTCTACCTAATGGTGACCTATCTTTCAAGTTTTCAAGTGTTGCTCATATTCTTGTTACTGGGTCTTTTTGTTGTCTAAAACGCTTCTTGAAATTCCTGGCACTGAAGGTCTGGCTTTCAGATGTACCAGTAATACTCACCTTCATTCTTAAATTGTGTTTATTCCTGGAGCTGAAATCAATTCACAACCTATCCAGTGCTATCGCGGTTGTATTCTTACCATCCAGTGTTGTCGCGGTTGTATCTTTACCATCCAGTGCTGTCGCGGTTGTATCTTTACCATCCAGTGCTATCGCGGTTGTATCCTTACCATCCAGTGCTGTCGCGGTTGTATCTTTACCATCCAGTGCTATCGCGGTTGTATTCTTACCATCCAATGCTGTCGAGGTTGTATCTTTACCATCCTTGTTGTCGTTGTTGTATCTTTACCATCCAGTGCTATCGCGGTTGTATCTTTACCATCCAGTGCTATCGCGGTTGTATTCTTACCATCCAGTGCTGTCGCGGTTGTATCTTTACCATCCAGTTCTGTCGAGGTTGTATCTTTAGCATCCAGTTCTGTCGCGCGTGTATCTTTACCATCCAGTGCTGTCGCGGTTGTATCTTTACCATCCAGTGCTGTCGCGGTTGTGTCTTTACCTTCTAGCGCTGTCGCGGTTGTATCCTTACCATCCAGTGCTGTCGCGGTTGTATCCTTACCATCCAGTGCTGTCGCGGTTGTATCCTTACCATCCAATGCTGTCGAGGTTGTATCTTTACCATCCTTGTTGTCGTTGTTGTATCCTTACCATCCAGTGCTATCGCGGTTGTATTCTTACCATCCAGTGCTGTCGCGGTTGTATCTTTACCATCCAGTGCTGTCGCGGTTGTATCCTTACCATCCAGTTCTGTCGCGGTTGTATCTTTACCATCCAGTGCTGTCGCGCGTGTATCTTTACCATTCAGTGCTATCACGGTTGTATCCTTACCATCCATTGCTGTCGAGGTTGTATCTTTACCATCCAGTTCTGTCACGGTTGTATCTTTACCTTCGCGCGCTGTCGCGGTTGTATCCTCACCATCCAGTTCTGTCGCGCGTGTATCTTTACCTTCGCGCGCTGTCGCGGTTGTATCCTTACCACCCTTGTATTCGTTGTTGTGCCCTTACCATCCAGTGCTGTCGCGATTGTGTCCTTGGGAAAGAAAATATTCGTGAATTAAATGAAGTTGATCTTCCGCATGATGTTCCCAACTCTAGATGACCTAGATCGTTCACTGGACGATTAATTCATATTGGCTTGTGTCAATAACTGTACTTCATTTATATATATTTTATATTCGGGGATAGTTTTTATCGATCGTCATAGTGATACCATTTAACAAAATTCTGCTTCTTCGAGCGGGAGCTGGACTTGTTTGATGCACGCTAGTTTGGCTGTTGGTTCCGTTTTTGTATATCTTGTTCTCCTTTGAGAAAGTAACATTAAATGTACTAGATTTGACTAACCAAGATTAACATGGCGGGTGTTGTGGGTGAAAGCAGAAGACTCCTCCGTAAAATCTGGTCTTATTTATCCCCGTGTTCATATTTTACCCTGGTTTTAAAGAATCTGAGTCGCGATTATGATTATGTTCATATGTTTGTATTTCCTTGCTGTTTTTGTTTCTGATAAAAGAGAAACGTTATTGTCGATGGTACTCACAGGGAGCATGTTCAACTTTTCTGCCAATGTTTCCCGGGAAGAATCCTTGAAAAGGTACTATGCTGTATTTTGTGAAATACAGACTCTCAATTGTGATTAAGCGAGGTTATTAATATTGATAAAGTATATAAACGGTCTATTAACAAGGCAAATTAGGAAAACAGTT